CAGAGTGACCTTCCTGGGCAGAGAAAGCCACTGAGATGTGTAAGGCAGCCGAAATAACTCAAAATCAAATGACTCTAATGTGTGAGGACGCGGAAAAAACTGTGCCCACTGTGATCAAGAAGAGGTGCACCCAGGGTTCCAAATCAAAGCGCCTGCGGAATCTAAAGAACCAAGTGGCAAGGCAAAAACCTCAACAGAATAAAAACCTGGGGGGGAGGGAGTGATCACAATCAAGCAAACAGTACACAGGGAGGAGCTGCTGGAGCCAGGGTGCCCGCGCACTGGGGGTCTGGGGTCGCTCTCTCTGCTTGACCCCCAGGCACCAACACTTGGAAGCAGGGTGCAATGGACACCTGTATGGGGCGATGTTGGACTCGCAGGTCTTGCAGAGTTCGGTGGCATTGCCCTGCTCTGGTGTGGAGGCTCTTACCAGCAAGGCTCCCTGTCTCCCTCGGGGAGTGGTAGAGGTCTTGACTCTATTTGCTACTGTGATTTTGGCAGAGCCAGCAAAAGGGAAGCACAGTGTTAGAGGAGTGGTCGTGTCATTGTCTGAATGCTCTTCTCCTACGTGTCTTTGAGCCCTACGCCGAGCTCGGCAGTGGCTCTGGAAAGCTAATCATCTGGCTCTGCTGTCATCCATCATTAGGTGATGATGCCCAGCAAAGAGTAGATCTGTATTCTGGGGCCCTGAAGACGGTAGGGATTTGGCTCATGGCTTCTGGTGTTGGGGGTTGGAGCTGGAGGTGATGGTGAAGGTGGTGATGGCAGCAGAGTGCGGAGATGGTGAGACCCACCTTGCTTGGCCCAGGAGCTCCATGATCCCCTCTCGTGGGAGGTCCGTGTGGGAGAGGGTAGGGAACTTTGCTTTTCAAAGTTCTGCTCCTCCTCCTGTGCTCAGTCCTCCACCCCTCTGTGGAACAGAGCACCAGCCTTGACCTCTGTTTCCAGGTGATAAAAGTAAGGTTCTTAAGGGCCCCCTGATCTGCTGTAGCCTGCAGAAATAGTGAGTGACCCACACGGTCTGGGGCTATCACTTTGTCGTTTGTTGATGATGGGCTGTCCTGCTGTCTCGCTTCTCTGGCAGAATAAAGGACAACTTTCCACTGGGATCTCCCGAAGATTCCTTTCATGGAGCAATCCCCTTATCTTGAAAAAAATTAGCTACATGAAGGCACAGAAGATTTTGATGCCCCTCTCAGTGACTCGGGTCTACCTGAGGACTGAGAGGCTATGATTACAGACTTTCAGGGGCTTGAACACAGCTTACAAAGGGAAAAGAATGAAAGGGAACGAGATGAAGGACATGGGTCAGGAACTTGGTCAGGTCCTCTGCAATGCATTTAATGCAGGTGGAGGCTCTTCCCTTGGAGCAGGCAACTGAGTATGTGCAAGACGTGGCCTGCCTCATAGAGATGGGGAGGATGTGGCATCAGAGCTAGGCTGAGGGCCCTCCTGGAGTTACTGGGACTGACACACACACCGGTGCCAGGACCCAAGGAACAGCACCACTGTCGACATGTGGGGAGAAATGGGGTTCTGAGTTCTGGCATCCAGAAGCCAAGGCATGGAGAGAATCCAGAAACAAGGAGAGGCTGGAGCCAGGCCCACAGACCAGAAGCCCCACCCGAGCAAGGCTTCGTGGTCAGCTAGGGACATTAGAGCTGCAGCCTCTCATGGCCAGCCCTGTCCAGGCCAAGAGATGGGGAGCACCCAGATTGAACAGGGGGTCATAGTCTCTGCCATCTTCGGGACACACTGGGTGTAGAGAACCAGTCATACCCAAACCAGGTTGCCACTCCTTGCTTACCCATGCTTTTGTTTTCCCAATCCAGAAAGTCTACAGAAACTCTTGGGAGCAGACCCGAGCTAGTGGCTATGACTTCCGGTTGGACGCCATCCCATTCCAGACGGCCCGGGCATCCAGGGAGATTGCCAGTGATGTAAGACTCCGTGCTCTCTCCATTGTGGACAGGTTTCACGCTGTTCTTCTCAGAGCCATTGACAGGCACAGGGCAGGCAGCAGGATGTCAAGAGTGTCGTTATCCACATCAAAATGTAATATGTACTTCAAAGGAAAGAAAAAGCTGGCACATTTTTTAGGACCTTTGCCCTATATTGACCTGAGTTTGACTCTTGGCTCTGCTGCTTAGGAATTGGCTGTTTGACTGGGCAGGTTGCTTAAATTATCTGAACTCAAATTTCTGTATCTATGAAAGAGTGATCTAATACCTGTCTTCTAGGACTAATGTAGGGTTGAAGAAATGATTTGCAGTGTCTGGCACACAGCAGGTATTCAGAACATGGCATCCAGGATTGCTGAAGAAGAGAGCACTGCTGATTAGACACTAGATAGCAGTCCACCTGTTAATAATTGTTTGCTAATCCACCGTGAGATAAGGACAGATATCTGGGGCAAGCACTCAAAAATGTTCTTAGCAACTAGACATCCAAGTACATCCAAGTACATCATTGGTGGGCTCAACTCACTGAACAGGGTAAAGGCCAATTTGGAGGTTATCAAGTGCTGGGGTAGGTCTTTGATGGATTCGCAATTTAGCAATACTAGGTGAAACAGGTCCTTCATAAATGATTTGAGAAGCACTAGACTAGGTTCAAAGGATCAAAGGAAGAATGAACACATTTGCCTTCCTGGTGGAGTATTGATTACAGCAACAACATCAGAGTGGGCAGAGATTGGTGCCAGGCTTGAAGCTCAACACCCATCTCAGTGAATTCTCAACATCCCATGGGATGGAGATTTGTTCTCCCATGTTACCAGATGGGGAAATGGAGGCTCAATAACTAGCCAAGACCATGCAGCTGGGCATATGGAATTCAAATCCCATGCTTCTAATTGGGTTGAGCTTCCTGCTGAGAATCCTGTGGGCTGCCCCATCAGGGAGGCTGGCCCCGGAGGGGAGGCAGGTCCCTGCGGTCACCTCTACCCCTCTGACTTGCAGTTCCGGTACAAGGAAGCCTTCCTGAGGGACCGGGGCTTGCAGATTGGTTACCGCAGCGTCAGTGATGACCCGAGGATGAAGCATTTCCTCAACGTTGGCAGGCTCCAGAGTGACAACGAGTACAAGAGGGACTTTGCCGAGAGCCGGTCTCAGTTCCACAGCCACACGGATCAACCTGGCTTCCTCCAGGCCAAGAGGAGCCAGCAGCTGGCCAGTGATGTGCATTACAGACAGCCCCTGCCCCAGCCCACCAGCGACCCGGAGCAGCTGAGCTTGAAGCATGCACAGAAGGCTCACCAGCTGCAGAGTGATGTGAGCCACCTTTGCATAACTTACATTCCCTTCTGGGGGGAGCTGTGCTGAGACAGCAGCCAAGACCCCAGGCACTTTAGAACCAGAAGGAATAGCAGCAACAATCACTGTGCCATTTCTCTGCTCTGTGCCAAACGCTTCCTGAGCATCATGCTCCATAGCCTCCAGGATCCCACCACCGCCTCATTTTACAGACGAGGAACCGGGGCCCAGAGAGGTTTAGTAGATCTGAAATACAGACCCCATTTAGTTTGGTGCGAGAGCCCACCCCCCTGATCACTGTGCTGAACAGTCCCCGAGGGATCTCAGTAGTTGCCTAACCCAGCCTTCACATTTTTTTTCTGAGAAGAAAATGAAGCCGGCGAAGGGGAATAACTTCTCTGAGGCCACAGGGCACAAAGCATTCCCCTAACCCCACCTTACCCCACTGCAGCCCCCACCACTCAGATAGATGTGAGTGACATCAGGTCTTCTATGCCGGGAAGCTCTGGCTCAAGACGAATCTGCTGTCCTTGTCCTGGCTTTACTGAGGACAACATATTCCTCATCTATGGCTGCCTTTTTAATCCGAGTCACTCTGTGGTCAAAGCACCCAGAGCCCTGCTGACACCTTCCTCTCGCTTCCTCCTTCCCCCAAGGTCAAGTACAAATCTGACTTGAATCTCACCAGAGGTGCTGGCTGGACCCCTCCTGGCTCCTACAAAGTGGAGATGGCTCGGAGAGCTGCAGAACTGGCCAGAGCGAAGGGCCTGGGGCTCCAGGGGGCTCATGTGAGTAGCAAGCTACACACTCACCCCGCCTGACAAGACCACAGGAAAAGACAAAGTCATTGTTTCTTTTCAAAGTTTATTTTTGGCCAAAGGTCAGCTTGCTCTAAAGAAGTGTGAAATGCAGCTGAGCAAGGCGCCTAATTTCATGGGTCTGGGATGACCGGGTGGATGACACGCAGGTTAAATTTCCTGCAGGGCTTTCTCTGAAGTCACAGCCATTAGTTCTGCAGAGGCAAACCTACCGGGGAGACATCAATCCCGGGCCAGGGCACCCAGGCTGTGCTGACTGCTTGCTTGTTACATGTGCAGAAAGGGTCAGGGACTTGCTAGCTACAACAGCCTGCATTTTGAACCCTACTTTGTTCAGAAGAAAGACACAATGAGTAAATGAGAGACTGGCTTTGCTTCTTTCTTATTCTTACCTTGAGGATATTTTTTCTTGGGTAGGTGGAGGAAGGGACCAGAAAGGGGGGATGGATGGGTGAAATGCTCCTCTCAGCATGTTTTGGGGTGGGGGGCTTCATTTTAACAAGGGGGATGCGTTTGATTTCTGCAGGGGGCGCCGGAGGTGGCTGGAGATCATCTGAGGGGGGAGGTGAACCCAGATGCCACTGAGATCCTGCATGTCAAAAGGAAGAAGGCTCTGCTGATGTGAGGGAACAGCCTCTACCCCATTCTTGAGAATGAAGCCACAGTGGAAGTCTGCTTTTCAGAGCCCCACTTTAGATGGCTTCGGTCTGAGCAAATGTAAAAATGGCACCCTAGATCTGCCTTTATTAAAATGCCAACTCTGAAAGCAAATAGAAGATGTTGTATTTTTACTCTTTTCTGTGATACCTGCATGAGAATGGTGGGTGCTGCTGAGTAATTTAGGTGTTTGGGATGAGGAGTAAAGAGTCAAGGTGACCGTACCAGGGCATGGCATTCATAGGTGTCCCTGGCAGAGGCAGTCTCTGTGAACACTGATTTTCTAGAAGGTACAGTTGTCTGAAGGGAAGCAAAGCTAATGCAGATGCATCCGGTGTTGAGTGCATCATTCCTGGGCTCCCCATGAAGGCAGAGGGAAGTGGTGTGGATGCCGGCCATCAGGACCAGGGTGGGTAGCAGGTGTCTCTGCCCAGAGTGACTCACTCTGCTATGTGGCCTCCTGGGGACTCCAGGGGGTGTTCCTCACTGCCCATGCGGTCCACTTAGTCTGGTGCAGAAGAGGACAGGCTCTGAGGTTCCAGGACTTCAGACAGCCTCCTTTTGCATGGTGGCTTTGATCCAGTTCAGGAACTTGGTAACTTGGGTGTAGACCCCTGGCTTTTTCCCACATTCCTGGCCCCAGCTCACAATCCCATAGACATAATAGATGCCATTCTTCTCACAGGTCAGAGGACCTCCAGAGTCACCCTAAGGGAAAAAGCAGAAGTTCAGCCTTGTGGACCTGACACATTCAGAGATGCCCCCCATCTCTCAAGGGTGCCAGCTGTGATGGGGTGGAGTTAATTGCCCGCTGGCCATGTGGGCTTCTCTGGAAAGCATTCATGACACTCTTCTCATTCCTGCTGTGGGGCAGGGCTCTGAGCAGAGAGAAGCTACACTGTCACCAGGAGTCCACAAGGTCTTGGTAGAGAAGCCGAGGGCTGCAGTCACAATGTAGTTGGAGAATCTGCACCCTGATCCTTACTCTTGCAGTGTCATTGCCACTAATCCTTCTGGCAGGTGACTAAAGGGGTGGTGTTCGATCTTCTGGGTTCCAACCCAGGCTCTGCAGGGTGCTGGCCATGTGGCTTGGGACCTCAGTTTCTCAGCTATAAACTATGCATAGCAGCTGGCACCCTCCCCCAGGGTTACTGTGAAGATACATTGGTTGTAAGGCACACAGCACAGAGTCTGGTTGTGTTGAGTCCTCAGTGGCAGTGGTGAGGATAAGGATGGAGGAAAGGGTAGTGAGAAGGAGACTCATGAATAATGCTGTTCATGCACGACAGCTAACAGATCTTTAAAAACTGAACTCCCTCGCTGAATCATCGCGACCCGCTGATGATCTTATGCTCATGTTAGTTCCATGAGGCGCCCGAGACTGTAGAACTCCTTAGGTGGGTGATCAAGATCACACAATAACAGACAGAAACAGGTCATGGCCAACTCATGGCTATCTGTTTCCAAACCTACAAGTGTCCCGGATTATCTAGAGAACTGCACGATCTCTTTTCTTACTCATCTTCTAGGGGCCTAGGGTAAAATGCCCCCATCTGCCTTTGCCCCTTCCCTGAGTACATAGATATCTGTGGTTCCTTGGGAAGGGACTCAGGGTCACAATACAGCTACAAACCCTAATGAAAGAAACTTGAGTTTCTGTTCCCAAAGTGGGCCCAAGGCTGGCAAGTCTGTTGGGTCCCTTTGCAGGAGGCTCCATTAAGGGGCTGTGTTGGGGTTTCCAGGAAAGTTGAATGGTTTATAAGGATGTTAGGCAGAAAATCCTAAAATAAGGTGTTCCTGGCATCAGAAAGGATGGACCCTATGTGACGTGAACCCCACGAAGAGCTGTGTGGAGCAGGCTCTGACAGGAGGCAGGACCTGACCTCCCCTTAGAACCATTTGATGGAGCTGCCACCTCCTGCCGCGCCCCTGGGTCACCACAGACCTCAGCAGCTGGGTGAGGGCAGAACTCTAAAAGTCCAGACTAGCTGGGATGTCAGGCAGGTTCTAGGTTTGGCTGTGCACAGAGTCATGTAGATTTCTAGGGCTAAATCAATATCTGTATCCCTGTCTTTGTCTGTTCCTATTTCTGCCCATCTGTCCCACACACATTGAAACCCCGATGATTAATAATGTCACTATGATATCTCTAGGCCTTATATCACTTTCCTTTTAGTCATTGCTCTTGTGGGCAGTTCATTGCTCAGTGGGATTTTCAGACACTCTGCCCAACACTGAGGCCAGAAGTGCCACCTCCACGTTTAAACCTAGTGGAGCAAAGTGGCAGAATCTCTGGTGTCCTGCAGAGCTGGGGTTTTCAAACTCAAGGGCTATCACTCACTATCCCATTGCTATAGGCAAATGTGACTTTCTTAAGCAACTATAAAACGATGACAGTGACGCGCCCTTCACCAAAGTGTGATTTCAGTCAGTTAAATCGCAGGGCACACAATGTGACCACTGTGGTCATTATGCCGAGTCACCCTGGCTTCAGATATGGGGAGGGGCGGTCAGATACTCCCTGCCTATGCCTTAGCTTTGGGACAGGTGGCTTGGCTCCCATTCCAGGGCTCTACAGGGCCTTTGTGGCCAGCTTCTCCTTCACCAAATGCATTTAAGTCTGACCTGGCAGGTGTCTTGCCCAGGCTTCTGTAGGTTCCCTGCACAAATCATACTGGCATCGATCGTTTGGTCATAGAGTCTTCGGGAGTTGCACAAGGTGTTGGCGATCAGCTTGACTTTGGCATCCAGAAGCTGCCGGGACCCTTCCCCTGTGGACAGAAAAAAGGAGTTACTACTGTGCGGACCAGGGTGGCACCTACCCCACCTGAAGCTAGTGGTGTGAGGGGAAGGCCACCACCCTTCAGCTCAGGAAGGAAGGGGTTTCCCAGGAGATGGGCAGAAGAACCCCATCTTCCAGGACTGGGACCCTTCTCCTTCAGCCTTCAGTGATCCTATGCAGCTGAGCAGAATGGAACACGGCCATTTATTCCCTCCTCTGGCTCCTAACTAGGCCATGAGGTCCAAAGGGGCATGGATGACATCTTTGCCATCGTTAAAGGTTTCTAACATCAGCGGAATGGCTGGCATAAGTACATTCTGAATGATGGAATGAGGTTTCCTAGTGCATTACATTATCTGCTTCTGAGAGAAGACACCCCCCAAGATAATGAAATCAATTGAAATATGTCATTGACTTTGAACATGCTGTTTTAGAGGGCTATTTGTGAAAAATAAAATTGTTTTAACCTGAGTTGGGATTCTCAACTAAGACTTTGCCATGCTGTCTAGACCATACTGAGTAGAAGAGAGGCCAAAAGATTTGGATGGCCTGGAATGCAGACAGCTGCAAAAAGAGTTTTCTGGTTGGCCTTCATTCCAATTAGCCTAAAATCTCTTTCCCTAAAACCTCTGACACTTTGATCTATGACATTTTACTTTCTTTAAAAATAGAGACCTAAAGTGACTCTTACTTTCCATTATTAAGGACAAAATTGGGAGAGACAACAAATGCGTGGAGTATTTGGAAAAGACTTGAAATAGCCTTCTGAATGTCTTTGTGTTTAAGGGTATAATCTTGCCTTGGTCATTATTCCAAATCTTGGCAATATTTATTGAGAAATTAAAAGTGAGTTGTGCAAGTAACAAAGCCAAGGATGGACTGCAAATTGCCTGGTACTGAAGTCCAAGCTCTTGCAGTCCACCTAGGGAAGAACAGTGATCTCTGTGGATATAGGATCAATGTTGAGAAGAGTGAGTATCCGGGGGCAGGGGCCAGAGACCGATATGGTGATCAGGGAAGCTCAGGGAACATTCCCTGTCAAGGGTAAGATTTACCTGGAGTTTGAATGATGAAGCACATGCTTCTTTTGATAATGCATTTTACTCTTATTTCAAGTTAGATGGGCAGTTGGGGTGGGCCCTTTTTTCTCTGGCTGATGTATCTCCTCTGAGCTAGGAGAGAATGCTGGGACTGACTCACCTGTTTCTGTCACTCCCCAGCCAGAGATGTGACACTCAGTCCCTGAGGGAAAGGAATCATCAGGCAAACAAACAGTCTTCACGTATTTGGATTCCAGAGCACAGTGCCCATCCACCGGTTTTAACTTGAGCAAAGCTGGATGGAGAGAGGGAAAGAAATGGAGGTGACCTCATCTCTTTGGCAGGGAAGCATTAGCTTTCAGCTTGCTCTGGAAGGTGCTGATAGGGAAACTCCACCCTCCATGCCTGAAAAGTTCCTTCCCTCATCATGTTATTTTTTGAACTTGAGAGGAGTAACACAGGCGGAGAGTGATACTAGGAACAATAAATGCAAGGGAGGAGAGAGAGAGAGAGAGATCCTGTGGAGGGGAGATAGGGTGCAGAACTGAGCAGTTGCTTAACAATGTCATTGCCTCTGTACCAGAGCATTCTGTGCCTGTGCCAGGTGTGCCCATGTTAGTATCAGGAAGCTTAGAGTTGTACAATAGTGTCCTTATTTTCCCTAAGAGTGGCCCACTCCCAGCTAGGAAGCCAGGAGTGGGATTCCCAATGCAATGTTCCTCCTGACATCCTAACATCCTTTTCCCCTCAGTTTAAGAGTCCGTGCTCATGTTTCCACAGCACAAACATATAGTCTTGGAAATAAATTCTCTACCTTACAGGGTCCACAAGGGACCAAAATAATCATGAGAACCTTCTGGAATCAAACCCCATCTTCCCATCAGTGGAGAACTCCACCCAGGTGAGACACAGGAGGGCCAACAGAGAGGGAACTTGCCAATGTCGTTGTGTGGAATCTCGTCTCTTTCATTGTAGTCGTTGTACTTGATTATCTTCTCCACTCTGAAGGTCTGCTCATGGAATTCTGTCTTCATCAGGTCCTGGTCCCCCAGCACAACTTTTAGATGTTTGGTCTTTATGCTGTAGGGGGGAAGTAAAATGGTTGGGAAATTGCGCTGGACAGGAAGAGGCAAGACCCACATCCTCGATATGCTCCTGGCGAGCTGTGTGATCTTTGACTCTGGCCTTCTGCAGCATCAGCACCTTCATCCCCAGACCTTTTGTCCTTCACAGATCCTGCTGTGGGTTCCAAATAGACAGAAGCTAATTCCAGGCATGAACTGTTGTTTTTATCCCATCTTTCCAGCGAGGCCTCCTATTTTCCCCGGGTCTTGGTAAAGGACAGCCAAAAAGGTCCTGAACAAACCTGTTGAGATTCACTGGCAGATGCCAAGTCTGCTGCCTGACTTTCTTTTTTGTTTTGTTTTTTTGGTACCGGGGATTGAACTCAGGTCCTTGTGCTTGCAAGGCAGGTGCTGGAACCACTGAGCTAAATCCCTGGCCCTGCATGCCCAACTTTCTATATGAGTACCTCCTAGAGCTCCCAGATAATTTAATTACATGGTAGACTGAAAGACTGTCAAGGCAACCTCCAAAATCTGGGCTTCCTGGAACCACCTCTGACCACGTACCTAGGGAACTCAGAGGAGGTGGGGATCCCTTAGCTCCCGGGAGCCACTTGCTTCTCCAAGGTGCAGAGGAGGAGGCCTAGGCGAGGACACTGAACCCTGGAGGCTCACCCATAATAACATCAGACAATGCAGCAGGTTATTTTATCTGCTCAGGGCAGGTCAGTATGAGTTCTGTTCCCATTCACTTTCCTTTCATGTGGCTTGGGGAAGGTGCTAAGCCTTTCCAAGACCCAGGTCCTTGTTAATGAAAAGGGAAAGAACTTATTGAACATTTGCTATGTACAAAGACCTGCTGTACGCACTGAGGATAGTATAGTGAATGAAACAGATAAAAATCCCTTCCTTCCCTCTTGGCTTGTCTTCCAGGAGCTCATTTGGAGGATTAAATGTCCTATGATGCGTGCAAAGCCCACGCTAGGCAGTGTAGATATGAGAACCACTTTCTCTCTAGTCTTTCGAAGCCACAGTTTGGCCTCTGGAGCATTTGCCCCTAGTGCTTCCAGGGTTAGTGGGAAGAGGAGGGCACCAGGCTGCATCTGAGTCACCTGGTGGTCACTCACTCGGTGCAGTGGGCAGCAGTGAGCACCCAGCAGGGGTGGATCAGTGAGCCCCCGCAGAAGTGGCCTTGGGGCATGGTGGTGGCCAGAGGCCCCGAGGTCTGCAGCGATGCCTGCCATGGGTGCTTGCCCGCTGTGCTCTTAAAGCCTCCATAGATCCTCTTGATCTTCCTCTCTACAACTTCTGTCCTCCCGCAGGAGTCAAACCCCAAACGCTGGACCGGGGACTCCATGGGACTCTGCTCTGGGTTGGCAGTGTCTGCAGGACACAAGAAAACAGATCACCCAACTGAATGAGCCTCCTTCTAGTCTCTTGGAAGAAGCCAGCCCGAGATATGGCCTGGAGTCCAGCACAGTGTGTGCATACTGTTGGTGCACAGTGATATTTGTTGAAAGTCTTTATTAATATAAAGTAAGCCTTTGAACTAGCAGTGAAAATGCTGCTTTTCCTCTTTATTTCAAAGTGTACGTGTGTGTGTGTGTGTGTGTGTGTGTGTGTGTGTGTCTGAGTGTTGCCTTGCTCCCTTCCTTGGTCTTGTAAGGAGGGAGAAATAACATGTCACACTGAAAACCAAAGAGGACTTCTCAGAGGAGAGGATGCTTGGCTTTGCTTCCTAATAATGGTTGGAAATGGACAAGGGCAGACATAGGATGGAGTATTACAAACAGAGGCAACCATATTACCAAAGGCACTTGTCATGGAGGGAACACCACTGGTTGAAGTAGGAGGTGGGCCAGGAAGACCAGCAGGAAGGCGGTGAGGCTGGAATTCAGGCCAGCTTGCACCCTGAGAGGCTGTGGGGACCGAGCCAATGTGTGATCACACAGAGGGCTGGCCTAGTGCCGAGCACACAGCAGAGGACCTGTACACAGTGGATGTGCATCCTGATCTGGAGCCAGGAAAAGAGTTTATAGTAGGACTACCTGGCCTGAGCTGACAAAGGCATCCTGTCCAGCCTCCTGAGTGTTGCAGAGGTGGGGAGGTAGGTTAGCACTGGGATGAGAGTTGGGAAAGTGGGTCTGGAGGGAGGACAGGGTGCAAAGGCTGGGGTGCCAACAATATCTATGGAATGTCACCTTCCCACCAGGGGCCTGGGGGCATCCACCAGCTGAGTTGGGAAAGTGGGTCTGGAGGGAGGACAGGGTGCAAAGGCTGGGGTGCCAACAATATCTATCTATGGAATGTCACCTTCCCACCAGGGGCCTGGGGGCATCCACCAGCTTACCTAGAGCCGAGCAAGCGGAGACATCACAGTACTCCCACTTCACCGTATCACTGTTAGCTTTGATAAAACACCAGGGCTTTTGGTCTCCGTCTGGGTTTCTAAAGTGAAAAACAAAACATAAGGAGGCTTAGAGAATGGTGAACACAGCCTCACTGAAGGACCCTTGGATGAGAGGCTGCCACACCCTTGGGCTTCCCCTGGGTCTCTTCCCAAACCAATCCTCCAATGGCTTAGCACACCATAGTCTAGAAGGCTAGTCTCAGTTTATTTGTCAAAATCTTAATTTCTAGAGGACAGTCCCAAGGACCAGGAAGTAGTTCACAGGCCTTGGGCCAGACCCACAGGTCACATCGAATTAGTCACAGGAAAGGAAACTCGATCTCTATTGAAGACTCTGTGTCGGAGAAGTAAAATAACCACAAAACACAATGGGCTTTTCTGCCTGAACCTCTGAATTTCAGGCCGGGTAATCCTCAGAGGAAAGTTGCCAAGGAAGCCCCCATGGAAGGAGTAGCTCAAGGAGGGTGCAGGCTGAATGTAACTCGTGCTCATGCAAGGAAAGGCCTCTTATTTGTAGAGGCAGCTCAAAGCCATACAAAGGATCCCCACTGCTTGTATGAAAATCACCTAAATCCTTGGCCTTGGTTAGGCAGTGGGAGGAAGCCTGCCGAGTCCAGTACCAGCTACTCAAGTGGAGTGGCATGGAGGCAGCCAAAGAAGCAGGGGGTAACTCTAGTCATTCCCAGGGTGGTCTTGGCATTATCCTTACTCAGGAAAACTGTGGTAGAGACTGTGCTCATCAGACAGTCCATTTACTCCCCTTTATTTCTCCCCTAAAGTTATGTGGGGCCATGCGATGACTTCTGAACAATAAAATGTACACAGGGAGATAATGTGTCACTTACGAATTGAGGCAGTTTTTTTTAATGCTCTGCTTTCCAATTGTCCATTCTACTCCTGGGTGTTTGAGAAATGATGTGGAGGTAAATTGCCTCCCATCACCGCCCCCAACCCACATGACACACATGGCAGCATTAGTAAGAAACTGTGATTCATTTAAGTCACTGATATCTAGGGACTGTTTGTTTCAGCAGCTTAACCTCACCTGTCCTGAGTGGGATAGTTTCCTTGACAGACGGCTAATGGATCTCAATGATTTGTTTCAAAATGAAGCCACCAGGACTGAGCACAGAGGAGGGAACTTTTACCTGCAGAAGTTGTGCTCCCCGATCCCGTGGTTCTCAGCGTCCTCCATGAACATGTTGTAATTCTCCTGCACAAGGAGGTGGGAGTTCCAGGGCAGACACGTGTGGTGGTTGACTGTCCTGCTCACTCTGCCACGGTAAGAGTAGCCATCACCAACATAGCAGTCATCAGAACCTCAGAGAGAGCAGGCAGAAGTGTGAGAACTGGGAGCAACATTACACCATTCCTGGGAAGGCTGGTGGGTGCAGCAGTGGTCAGTAACACTGGGCCTGCATATTCATCACCTTGAGATTTCACCACAAATTTCAAGGATATTCCAGATTCGACCCAGCTTAAAAATGTGAAATATGCTAGCTGGAAATGGAGCTGGGAACTTTCCCCCTTAATTTTGGCTTACAAAATAATTATTGGAAGGTGGTTTGAGCCCCAGATATGCTCAGGTGCATTTTTCGGGGCTGCACTGCCTCCCAGATGATTACTTTCTTTACCTGGCATCAGATGCACCTGATACCCTAAGGATGGAAGGATGAAGCAATAGAATAAGAGTCTGGGCAACTTGACTTAAACTACATTTTGGCAACAGGGAAGAATTACAGATGCCTCACCTGGCCATGGATTTCTGAAAAAAATGCTGTCAGAGATCGTACCTATTTCACAGTATCTTCCCTTGAATTGGTCAGGACAGGTACAGCTGAATTTGGATCTCCGCCGATGGCGTGAGCAGATGCCGCCATTCTGGCAGGGATTTGGCCGGCACACCGGAAGCACTGTGAACACAGGAAGTGGGACCAGGATGGCTCCTCAGGAGGCAAAATCTCCACCTGAGGTGACGAGGAGATATTGGTGGCATTTTTTTTTTGGTGTCACCCTTTCACAAAAGATGGGTCACCAAATGGAAAGATGGACCCACCGAGACTCTGGTAAGTGTGCACATGGACCTTGAGAGTGTGAGCAAGCATGGATAAAGCAATAAGCATGGAGGCCATGCAAAAAAAAATAAAAAGTGTGTGTAAATGGGCCAATTATAAGAAATGACAAAAGGCATAGAAGGATTTTGGGGGTGGGTCTGATTTAGGTTGAAACTTGGCTCTGGCCCTTTTTAGTTGTGTGGTCTTAAGCAACTTAGTTATCCTCTATGGGTTTTAGTTTCTGTAATTGTAGAACTCTTCCTTGCAGTTTTTGGGGGGATGTGAGAGAGAATATAAATATTCTAGGACAGTGCTTGACTCAAACAATTTATACTAATTCCCAAGGTTGGCCCATCTCAGGAATACATCTGCACCTACTTCCTGGAGGAGGTGAGTTTCAGGATGATTGTTTTTTGAGTGAGAAGGCACAGAGATCGGTCACTTCCCATTGGACTCTCTGAGAAAGACAGATTCATAAAAGCCCTAGTTAAAAGAACCATCTTGGATGCCATGAAGACTTTGGATGCATCTGGACGTCCACACCGTAAGATGCAGTGACTCCAGGCACAAGCTAGGGCAGAGAGAGCTCAGCAGAAAAGGAGCCTCCACCACTTACCTCTGGAACAGTCTGGACCCGTGTAAGGATGTTTGCAGGCACAGCGGTAGTAGGGAGGACTTTGGGTAATGAGACATTCGCCCTGGCCACATGGGTTGTTCCTGCACTTGGTTTTCACTGTAGGAGATCCATAAAGAAGTACAAGAGAAAGTATAAGACAGGACAGTATTTGAGGCACAATTTACTTAGAGAGACTCCTGCGCAGCACAATGTTTGGGTCGGGTGTGGCTGACCTAGCCTGGGCCTTGTCCATGGTTCTGAAACACCATGCTGACCCAGGACAAGGCTTCTCTTACCCCAGGATCATGGGTGATTGCTTCCTGTGTGCTTTCTGCTTCCCATAGTTTATATTTCTCCATCTTAATAAAAACATGGTTAAAGTTTTATGCCTTCCCCAAACAGAGGTGCAATTTTAATCTGTCCATCTTGTAAATGACTTATTTTTATATTTTGTCATTCTTTTGTGAAGTTGAGGAATGAACCCAAATGATGGGCTGACACCTGATATCGTCATCCAGAAGCATTTATTGAAGGGATATAAATTTTGAAAACAGAAGGAATTCGTCAGGAGGACACAGAGGAAAAGAAGTCAACTACGAAGTTCTCTATAGTTGTAAGAACTGACTCACTACTCCCACCCTAGTTAGATGGTTGCTAGAGTGGACAGGATCTGGGTTCTCCCTAGGGACACAATCACCCACAGGAGCTCTATTCCCAGTGCTATGTGCCATGGCCTCATGTTGCCCAAAGAGCTTACCAAAGGCAGGAACTTTGAGGCTGGTGTGTCAAAAGAACACTGGGCCAGCAGTCAGGCTCCAGGACTGTATTCTACTCAAATCCTAATTAGCTGTGTGGATATGAGCAAGCGTATGCCTTTTCTGGGTTCTCCGTCTCTGGTTTGGGTTTTATATGCCCTGACAACCAACACACTCTCCCATTTGAGGACAATATCTCTCTGTTGTAGTCAGTCTAACCATTCAAAACACAAAGCCCTGAGTTTGGAATACAGCACATCTTGATTCCACTCCAGCTCTATTTCCTATTTGCTTCCATCTGCTCGTCTGTACAATGGACACCCTAGCCCTGTCTCAGTGTGGGAGGAGGAGGCTGTGAAGTGCCGCCGGGACCTGCAGAGAAATCCATTAGGCGTGCCCCATGTGCAGTAATCACCCATCCGTGGGTCCACTTGGCCCTTCTTACCACCCAGGCTCAGAGAATGAATGGCTTCCTGTTTAATCTAAGAGCGAACCTGGGGGAGAGGTACTTACCGTTCTGACACCTGTTCCCAGAGAAGGGGGGCTGACAGCTGCACCTGAAGGTGTCCCTGCTGATGACACAGCTCCCACCATGTTCACAAGGGTTGGACTGGCACGGATCTAAGACACACAGGCAGAAGTCAGGGTCCAGAAGGGGCAGCTCACGAGACACCCTCACTTCTTGCCTAACTTCACTCTCCTGCTCCCAATGACAGCAGCCGCAGAACCAGTGATTGGGCAAAGGGGGAAACATAAGTCATTCTTAAAGAGCAAGGAGAACTGAGGCTGCAAGGTCAGAGAGAGGGACTCAAGCAGGTAAGAGGAGAGGCAAGGAGGAATCGCTACTGTGTCCCCTCCGTCTGGCTCTGGATGGAGCTTTTCTCATTGCGAAACTCCTCATTTCCCTCATGAGTGTTTTTCTCCTCCCATCTTGCTGGGAGTGCATGGGTCTGTCTCTGATGCCGAAGGCATTTCACAAGGCTGAGACCTCCCCTACTTCCAGTGCCCAGGGATGGAGGTCAGGAGTGGGGGGAAAACCCACCTCTAATGAAACACAAGCTTTCTGAACATCAGGAGAGAAGACCAAAGGCAAGAGGGGACAGAAGAATTGACGGTGAGGAGGAAATGACCCAGTGGCCTTCATCTTTCTTCAACTACTTGTTCAGTTAGATTTTGTCATATTTCATCTGTGCCTTTGGCTTTTCATGGCTGTCTGAATGGATCTTCCCTTGGGGAATTCTTTATCCTTCTGTTCACACACATTGTTCTTTGGTTCAGGAACTAGGATCCCTGGGCCTGGCTCTTGTTTTGATAGTCCCTTCTGATGTTCCCCTGATGCCCTGTATCTTGGCCCTGCCTTCCTGGCCACTTTGCACAGTTACACAGCTTTTATTGCAGCTGCTGAGTGCTTTCCACACCTTCTCCTGCGTTAGGCACAGGGTTTTGCTTGGACCCGGCTTCTTATTTCCTTTTCTGTTCCATTGCTCTTTTTAAAAAAGCCACAACACAAAAACATGTGTGGTAGAAGCACACGTGTTGTGCGTGAGTGCACACAACACACACACTAACAATTGTGAAAAGTTTCTGAAGAATGAAAAGAGAAGGAAAAACACAAAAAAGATGGAAGGGAAGGAAAGTCGCAAATCCAAACTGGTAAATGCTACAGCCTGATGCTCAATGCCTACTCAAGTTCTTCTGCATAATTAGATCCCCATCTGAGACCAGAGCTATGGAAATGACTTAGAACAGGACTATTGTTCACAGTGTCAGGGGGACCTGGATGATGAGGCATCAACTTGCTGCATGACTGTGGCCAAGTCAGCTCCTTTTTGGGCCTCACTTACTTCATCCGTCATTTGAGGGTGGGGTACGTGGTCTCCAAAAACCTCTCCATTCTCATGGTATGTGTTTCTAACTGAAACAAAATTGTCAGTATCTACTTTTTGGTGGTGGTCAGAGAGAAGCCACACAGTAAGCCCCTTGAACATGTTGCCCTCCTGTGAGCAGATCTGGTACCCACCATCATCTGCATAATACCAGTCAGGATTCTCAGAGTAGGCCAGTGAAGTATTGGCTTTCTCTTCCTGGATATTTTCCTCGTAGCTGTAGTCATAGAAGTCAGGAGTCCAATCTATGGGGTGGGAAAAGAACAGAAGAAAAGCTTATCATTTTCCTTTGATAAGATAGCGATTTGTTTAGCTGAACACCTTTTCTCCAAGACATCAAAGTCCTTAAGGAGGGATCACATGTCTTTACAGCTCTTCACACTGATGGGGAAGGACAGGAAGGGTCAGGCTGTGTCACTTTTCATTTGGAGGATACTAATGCTCTAGCAGGATGATGTTGGCATTCAGCAGGGTCAAGAGCACTCATTTCAGAGTGGGAGATGTCGAGTCCTGACATTCCACTGACAGTAACCTTGGTGACCGTGGAGAAGCCATTACATTCTTGATGCCTTGGCTTTTGCATCTTGGTGCAAGAGGAAGAGGACCGGGACCCAGAAGGTCTCTAAAGTTCTACATGGGGCCTTCCGGGGTCAGGTCATGTGGCGCTCGAGTACCTCAGTGGAAAGTTCTGTGAATACTATTTCTTGATGAGACTTTATTAATCATCTTAGTCTAATGAGGCAAAAGAAATCTGTCAATTTCCTTTTGTTTGTGGCATCAAACTACTCCTCCCAAGTTGAATCGTATTTATTGAGCCTTTTTTATGCACCAGGCTGTCCTTTTTCCATTTCATTTCATCCTCATAAAAATCGAGGAAGTGTATTATCTGCTCTGCTTTAAGCTGAGAAAGCCGAGGTAGAAAGAGGCTAAGTAACTTGCCCAAGGTCACACGGATAATAAATAGCAGGATCTGGAGTAAGGCAGTTGGTCAGCATTAACCCTAAATTTCCCTAGTTCAATGTAAGTGAGCAAGCGCTTGCACTGTTGGCTTCCACTGCCTCGGCTAAACTCAGACTTACCTCGTCAAAGAGTGTCCAGCCGTGCCTATCGAATACCCAGCCTACTAATGAGGACTCACCTGAGTACAGCCTCGAGAGCAGGTCGTGCCTACTGAAAGAGAAGGCAGTGTCGGGAGTCGACCAGAACTATAAACCTCATGCTAGTCTTGACTCTGGGAAAAAACACATATGTGTAAGACTGGGTTCGAGCTCTTTGTCGTCTGGGGCCTGAGAAGATGCCGGTAGCTCCATGGCTTGGAGAGAGAAGTTTGGGATTTGAAGAAAGTTAGGCTAATTTTGTTCTCTCCAGCAGATGAGAGTGCAGCAGTTTGGCAAGTTGAAACTGGAAGGAAGTTGTCTGTCCAGAGAGGCATATGATAATGAGGCAGGGCAGAAGGCAGAACGCAGACTTGAAAAGGGCTCCTACAGAGCCAGCTGATGAGGCGGAGGACTGCACTCTACCTAAGCCTGATTATCAACCACATTATCTCACTCATCCCTCCGTCATTCTGTTATAGTCTTTATCTCTCAGGCTTTTGAAAAATCAACTTTTTCACAATGGCTGTTTTATATTTCCCATTAAAATGGAACTATCTTTTTATTTCTTTTTTGAATACACCAACCCTGGCTCCTCGGCAAGGCTGCGCCTCATTTATCACAGTGTCAAGTCAAGCCTCCCTTTGCTTGCTCATTATTTCTCCTGAGCTGCTTTTCCCCACTATGAAAATGCTCCCAGAGGAGGCCACCTTTCCAAGGATGAGGATCTAGGTTGAAGATAAGGCCATTGTCTTCCTGAAGCAAATAAAGTTTCCTTCCATCTCACACCATAAAGCAGAGAAAGAGAGTGAGAAAGTTGGAAAAAAATGTCATTCTGAGTTTGACATGAAAGACTTCAAGCTGACATTTGGAAGGGACAATGATATGACTGCATCATTTCTTTCTTTCTTTTGGAGAATTTTTGTTTTTCCAGCAGGTGTTTACAGATAAGAGCCCTTCAGTTTGCTCCTATAATTTCTCCTATCACTCCCATAGGTGGGGGGTCAGACTATTTCATCTTGGCTATATCCATAAAAACCCCACCCCCTGAAATATTTGGAAATGGAGGGATGCAGATGCTTACACAGAAGGGATAGTGTGGCTTTTCCAGCTGAGGGGAGATAGATGAAATAGCTATTGGAGGATTTAGACTTGAATTTCTACTTACAAGTTCTGTTCGTCTTTCGGCCTAGGTGGGAGACCGTTAATCGTGATGTGTCAGCTTCCCTGGATTAAGAAACATCTAGTAAAATAACAGAGCCTGCTCCTGGGCATGTCCAAGGGGGCCCTGGAGCTGTGACCTGGGGTACCACATGTGGTCCCTCACCCCCTCCCTCTCTGGCCCCTATGCTCTGCTCTGATTTCCCAGCCACCATGAACTAAGCAGCTTTGCTGTGCCACACTCTTCTGCCTTGGAGCCAGCTGACCACAGTCTGAAACCACGAACCAAATTAGACCTCTCCTCCTGTATGTTGTGGGTGTCAGGTGTGTGTGTCCCGACAGTGAGAGAGCTGACTAACAAGAGCTGAATGAGAATAAAACGCAGAGGCTCGGAATTGTATTCCTGCTAAAGTGCAGTAAGTCCTTCCTCTCCACGAGGGTCCAGAAACCTTCGCCGAAGTGGTGAAGCCCAGCAAAGGTTCAGTGGCCTCGGACTCCCAGGGCAGAAGCCATCTGGCTGTGGAGGGCTGCTCAAGAATGACACCAGGTCCTTTATATTTGGGTGGCTTCAGAGTGTCGCCTGGGATGATTGCTCTACCTCCACATTTCAAGCTTATTTTGTTTGTTACCCATTACACCGGCACCCAGCTCTCCCGTCTGTGTAAGAAACTTGTATTGCACACTTACAATGGGCCAAGTATGATACCAGGTGCCAGAGATACTGGAGGCAGTGGAGAGTTGCACAGTTACACGAAGAAGAATGGGCCGTGGCACTGTCCTCAAAGGAACCTGCAGTCTGCATTGGCTGAGGGAAGAAATCCAGCCAAACAGGAAGAGTAAAGGCTGGCGATGAAGTAGGGAAGCCAGACGGGGCCAAGTCCAGAAACTCTGGCTCGGTTTGAGCCAATTTGATGACAAAGATGCCTCGGTTCTCCAGCTGTCTGAACCTGTGTGACTTTTGCAGCTCCATTGCCCATCTGCTGTGTCTAGGTCAGCCTGGGACAGAGGCATTTGTGATGACGTGACAGTTCCAAGCATGGCTTTGGGAATCTGATCAGCACAGCCTCGTCTGTATCAGAAGAGCTGCTCAGTTGGACCCAGCCAAGTTGCTAATTCAAGGAATTCATATCCAAATACATGGTGAGTGATTGAAGCCACAGAGTTGGGGTAGTGTATTATGCCCGGGGCTTCATTAATATTAGGTTGCAAGTGGGCTAAATCATTTTAGATACAGCTGGCTGTAGAATTTAGGTTAGTGGCGGAGTCTCAGATTGTACCTCTCTCTGGGAATTAGCTTGGTCTATCTGATTCATTTCCTCTATTGGACATTGTTTTTTTAAGAGCAAGGGCTACTGGATTCTTCTCTCTACCCTATGATGTCCAGCATGGGTCAGCTGTTGGTTTGCAGATGGATTTTCCCTCAGTGGCCAAGCCTCCCCACTTTCTGATTGGCTGGCACAGAGCCTTGACCACAGTGCTGGATTCTGCTGGACCCAATGGGGGATTTAGGAAAGAGGCTATGTGAGATTTGGCCCATAGGTATTTAGTGAAGAAAATTCCTGATGAGCTCTGTAGGAATCTACAAACTTGTCCAAATGCTCTGCTGAGTAGAAAGGGCTTCTGCCTGGCCTGATATCTGGTTCCAATTCAGATTATTTAAATTCAGATTATTTGAGTCCTTCTCTGGGCTGTTAGAAAGGAAGAGCTTTGCAGAAGAAAAGGGGGGCTGTCAGAAGCATTTCATTTTAGATAGAAAAGAAATCCATATGGATTTGTCTCTCAGAGTCTGTATCTAGAAATCATCAGGAAGAATGCTGAGAGAACCCTGAGTTAACCCAAACAATCCTAGTAACGGGTTGTTACATATTGAATGTTTTCTGTGCTTCAGGCACTAGGTGAAGTGAATGTGGTTGAACATAATCCTAGTTAACTTGGAAACTGGGCCTTGGAATCTGTATCTTTATGCCTGCTCTAGGGACCAAGAAAAACCAGGGCAAGGACGTGGTAAACCAGGTCCACCCGACTCCAGATCCTGTTTGCCTTTTTATGAGCTGGGAGCCTTTGGTGGGTTTGTGTTTCAGAAACTCCATGGGTCTTTGCTTTCAGGAAGTTATGCGGATTGAGAAATCTTCTTTAGAACATGCTCCCAGTCCCTTGGCCAGGATCGCTGGGGTCCATGTTCAGGGTCTTTCCACAAATGCTCAGAGTTCCTCCAACGGGAACCTCACAGCTGCTCCAGTTAAAGAGCTTGCCAGATGTGTGGAACGGAATGAAAATCTCTGGAATGTCGTCCCTGTTAGTGTCATCCATCACCGTGGCACAGACGGCTCCTCCAAGAGGGCCCCCAGGCCCCAGCCCTGTCGGACTGCATTTGACACTTCCAGTCTGGCTGATGGGTCAAGGCCAGCAGAGAGCCTTGCTGGCAGGGAGCGGGACAGCTGATGGACGGGCTCAGCCCGCGGCGCTGGGCAGAGCCGAGTCAGCTTTGAAGAGGCGTTTCTGCCGGCCTGCTGGCTGTGAGTCACCTGCTTTGGGGAGACAGGCAGGGTCTGCGCCGTTTGATAGCCACCTCCCCAGCCACCACTCACAGGGGACCGGGCACCTTCTGCTCTAGCCAGGCCCTGTCATGCACCGTGTCCAGCAAGACCAACCAAAGCAACAGCGTGCCTGAGGGCGTGAGTGCGTGAGCACCGGGCCTCTTCATTGTGCTGTTGTCTGAAGCTGGCAGGGATCTGGCAAATTCCATCAAAGCACTACCCTCATGTGCAATTAAATCAGGCACCTGACACGGATGCTCTTAAAACTGAACCAGCCCTTCACAGGCAGCCCCAGCCACTGCTTCTCATCTGCTGTACAGCCAGGGGCTCAGAGACCACTCCAGAAAGACTCTGGGGCCTGGGGAGGCCTACTGCAGGGCCCTTCATGTGTTCACCAACTTCTCAGAAGCTATTGGCAGGCTTCTTTTACAGCCTAGATTCTCAGGATGCTACGTCCAAGGCTCTCCATCCCCTCTGCTCTACACTATTTTTCAACCTGCACTTAAATGTCTCTGGTGATGAGGAAACTCATTACCTCTCCAGAGCCCAACAGCCCCTTCAGTTTTCAGTATATTGAATTAAAGCAATAAGCCTTATGGACACATGCAAGGAATCCACTCCCTTTTCTGTGATCTCTGCTTTACAGTTGTTCTACTTGTTCACTGTGTGTTCCAGGGTGTCATACACACTGCAGACACATTTTCCAACTTTCTGGAAGACGGCAGCAGAGTATTTTGAGGAAGAGATACTTCTGAATTCCTACAAAGTTAGCTTGTAGTCCAGGGATAGGCCTGCTTCACTCAAAAAGAGAAAGGTCCCTTGAGTTTTACTGTCTGCTCCCATGTTGCCCTGCAGCCTGTCTCTGACACTCAGGCCTGAGGAGCCCCTGGAGCGAGGGACCAGCACTCTGAGGGAGCGGTATAGCCCTGGCAGCCCCAGGCCCAGGACTCCCTGTAGAATGGCTGAGGCCACCAGCAAGGGCAGCCTCTGAATCTGGGCCTTCTAGAAGCTGACTGAATACTGAATAGTCTTGTTCCCTTTGGAGAAAGATGCAGATTCTCTCAAAAGCACACATGCCATGCTGCTGTGTATTTTGGTGCCATTCCCTGAGCCCAGGGGCTGGGATGCAAACTTAGCCTCATTCACTCCGAGCCTCTATCAGTCTCTGCCATCCACAGCTTTGCTGCTGGGAGCACTGACTTCCAACTGCACTTGGCCAAGTCTCCACTATCTTTACTCCAAAGAAATCCTTGATGACAGTGGAGACATAACCAGAGCCTCCTGTGCCAGCCTCCGTCCTCTGCAGTGAGCAGCCAGGGCCCCACCCTTGGGGATGTTGGCCTCTGGCCAATGTAACAGTGGATGGTGTTTCCTCCCTGGGAATTCAAGCAGCTAAGAGAGGCTGGGACCCCAGCTGGATAGGGAACACCATGCGCCTAAGATGGAAACAGCAGTGGGGGTGCTAGTGTGCGCCTATGGCAGGCGCAAGTCATCCCTGGGATGCGGGCCACTTGTCCTGGCTCCCTGCAGGTGTGGAAGGTATGCACTAAGCCTTCTGGAGCTGACCATTGCTCAGTCACACCCTTGCGTTCCCTCCTCATCACATCTCAGCCACCAAAGGGCTGTGCAACCAGGAACAGGGTGCCACTCCTCTTTGGGTCTTCGTCCCTGCCTCTGTAAAATTGGGGCGTTTAACCACATCAGCAGTTTTCCTCTGTGGTCCTGAGACTGGCCCTGAGGGCTGTCACTGGCCGCTGCAAATTGTGGCAAGTACTGAGTGAAGGCCACGTTTCTGAGCACATGGAAAGAGAAGGCTCTGATATTTCGGAACCAGTTCAACCCCAAGGACCCTCCAATACTTCCCTGTTTGGGGAACCAGTCTGTGGTGGGTAGGAAGCCCTGGGGTGATCAGCACACGCACCTGGGTCCAGGTCTTCGGGGAATGGCTTCAAGAAGAACTGAAAAAGAAAACGACACAGAGCAGAGCTCGGTGAGTCAGGTGGGCCTGAGCAGCTGTGACCCAGAGGCCCATATCCAGCGCAGAGCACCGGGTGTCTCCAGGACTTGAACCCTTTCCACACCAGGGAACAGGCTGCCCAGGACTGCTGTCCCCGTCGGTTAGGGCGGTGGAGCTATTCTGCCTGACTGTGCCCTGGTGCCCGCTGTTCTTATACAACCCTCTTGGCCTTGCTCAAGAGGAGATAGTGGAGACTCAATGGCACACAGCCGTGGTAAGATTAGGGTTTATGCTCCAGTCTCTGGTTTCTTTGGGTGACGGCCCTCCAGTAGATCGGAAAGACACGAACGCTAAAATCTCCCCAGGAACTTCCCATTATTCTCGGAATAAAATCCAAACACCTGTTGTGACCTACGAGCCTCTTCCCACACTTCTCCATCCCACCATTCTTACTCAGCTCTGGCCACATCTGGTTTCAAAATGGTGCAAGCAACCCCTCCCCTCACCCCAGGCCATTTGTACTGACTTTTCCCTCTGCCTGGACCTCTTCCATGACTTTTACCAGGTCTCAGTTTAAACATCACCTTCTCAGGAAGGCCTTTTCTAAATATCCTGTCAGTATCACATCCCTAAACCCCTGTTATTTTGCTGCTGTACTTGCTTTTCTCTCCATGGTCCTTTATTACAGTATACAATTTTAGGTTTGTTTGCATGTCCTTTGTCTCTCACATTGGACCCTGTCTTCCAGAAAGGCAGGCCTCTTGTCTGCTTTGTCACTGATGAATTCCCCAATACGTACTCAGCACAATACTTGGCACACGGCATCCCTCAAAAAATTTTTCTGAATAAAAAAATAATGATATGACAAGGTCCTTTTAGCACTCAGCACTTAGCAGGAAAAGAAAGCTTTGCTTATCTAATAACTGGAATGTGTTCTTTTATTTACATCACAAGTCAGCACATTAAGACCCTTGGGCAAAGCCTCCGAGTTGTGTTGTTATAAATAAAGTTTTATTGGACAGTAGTCATGTTCATTTGTTTACATTTTTATAGCTGCTTTTGTGCTACAATAGCACTCTGTGACAGAGAAAATGCAGTTGAGAAATGTGCGGTCTGGCGCTTTCCAGAAAAAGCTTGCGACCTCCGATTTAGAAAGTGAAAGTTTTATCATTTGACAGCTTTTCCTTTGGGTCATGGCTGCAGGGCACTGAGCTTTATGGAATGCATCTTCCTGGTGGTGCCCACATAAATCACACTCTTTGGTATGTTTGCTTCTGTAGGCTCAGTGGAAGTTTTAATTTTCTGTCTACTGTGGGGATTTCTTAAGCAGTTCGAGAAAGTAGGCAGATGATAAATCAGAGAGAAAGGAAAAATGTACCTGATATGATGTACTGAGGATATGACATCAACAAACAGTGCTCTTGACAAAAGAAATGCATATCTTAAATCTACTTGTTCTGGGCTTGGTGGTGCAGATCTGTAATCCCAGAACTTGGGAGGCTGAAGCAGAACTGTCATGAGTTTGAGGCTAACCTGGGCTACACAGTGAGTTCAAGTCCAGCAAGAACCTGTCTCAAAAAAAATAAAAATTAAAAATAAAAAACCTACTTGTGAGTCACACCATGAGTCCAAACTGTGAGATCCAAACTGTGGTCATACCACAAAACAACTAGCCTCACTCTACAAAAGTATCACTGCCACAAAAGACAGAAAAGACAGAGGGCCACACTTATTAAGAGACATAACCAAAAAGGCACCTTTGATTGGATCCTGGATTTTAAAGAAAGCTATAAAGGGCAGTATTGAGACAATTGGGAGATGTAAATATAAACTTTTGTTAGATTGTTTTACTGTGTCAGTGTTGATTTTTTTCGAGAGTGGATAATGGTATTATAACTCCATAGGAAAATGTGCTTGCTCTTTTTTTCCCCCAGTACTGGGTATTGAAAATTGCACATAGGGTTACTCTACCACTGAATTATATCCCCACTCTATTTTTTTATATGGAGACAGGGCATCACTAAATTGCCCAGTCTGGCCTCAAAATTGCTATGTTCTTGCCTCAGTTTCCCCTGTGTAGCTGGTATTACAGGTGTGCAGCACAGTTCCCAGCAGAAATGTGCTTATTCTCAGGAGGTGCAAACTGAAATGCAGTACAATATCTGCTCTCTTTTTGCAGGTGATTCAGCAAATAAAACACAACATATAGACACACGTACACACAAGAGAACGAGAGAGATCATAAAGGTGGCAAAATATTTTCAACTGCTCCTCTATCTAGCTGGATGAAAGATATTCATTGTGTTTTCTTGTAGGTTTGGGAAATTACCAAAACATGTTTTCTGGTACGGTCTCTGTTGATTACCTCACAGTCCACCAGCCTTGCTTCTACGAGGGACAGGTGTTCGGTTTGGAGGGTGGGAGGGGTGGATAAGGGGGCTTTGTTGAAAGGGGATGTTCAGGTCAGGGGTATGGCCATCCTGGGCCTGGGGGCTTGAACAGGGACCACCTGACGGGACACTGTGGGTGTGTGTGCCAGGGCCACCCAGCTCTCCCCGAATTCTTGCATTTCAGTCTAGTAGGACGGGTCAAGACAGGACAGGGGATTCTGGGGTACCTCCTTTCTCAGGACCTGGAGGGGAAGGGCCCTGTAGGATCTGCACCAGGCCAAAGCCAAATCTTGGCTCTCCTTGGAGCCTGAGTGGCCAGGTGTCATGCTCCCCATGGCCAGCAGGTGGCATATGTGCCCTTCTAGGTGCGCGCGCTGGAGGGAAACCAAACTTTAAGACACTGGAACTTCCTTCCGGGTGAAGCTGGCTCATCAGACCCCCAGGTCTCAGGGAGCTCAGGCCGCCACCGTCTGGTTATGTGGCATGAATGAGTCACCCCGTGACTCCCTGTGTCCACTCAGAGAGGCCGTGGTGCATGGTGGAGGCTGGGTATTTTGGGCTCCCTGTGGGAAAGGCCTGTATGATGGCACAGGTGGGAAGGTGGACACAGTGAGGCCTCCTTTCGTGCTGTCATTCCATTCCATTTTTCCACAGAAGCAGCAGAATCACAGAAAAGCTCTTACTCCAGAAACTTGCAACCCAGAGGAACATTAATGTAGGAAGAGGAGGAAGAGAAGAACTAAAAAGGGGAAGGGATAAGAAGGATGATCTCAGTTTACATTCTTTAAGAACTGACAGTCGTCAGGGACTGTGTGAAATTTTTATAGGTGTTTTGTCTTCCTTATTACACACCATGCTCGATGAGTCAGGTACTATAATTTTGTCCATTCTGGAGGTGAGAAAACAGGTTTGCAGAGATTAAATTGTCCACAATGCCAATGAGTTCTGGAGCTGGACTATACTAGAGTCAGTCTTCCGTGAGGGTCCTTGCTCTCGTTAGGCTTGCTGTCAGGAATGAGGGAGCCATGGCCTGCACATGCTGTAACAAAAGGATGGAAGAGAAAGAGGCAGGACCCTGAAAGAAGCCAGTGTCCAGCTAGGCTGAGTATCAGGTCCCCCGTTCTTAGTCAGCTCCATGGAAGGCTTGTCCACACTGGCTCAGGCCTGGCAGGGTACAGAGAAGCCATGTGAGCCTCGGCCAGCCCACATCTCAATGAACATCTCCGCCCAGATCCAAAGGCACGCATGGTGCTGCCTGCTTTTCCGACCACCTCCATTCCCAGTGTCAATGGGGCCTAATCTTCCTCCCAGCCACGGCTGAGCTTGTCGCAGGTCCGGTGTATTCCAGGAAATGGTTAGTAAGGAGGGAGGGACAGATCTGATCTTAATGGTTTACGGTATAATTTTGTCGAGGGCCAGGGGTTACTGGGTCTAATCTATTTTGTCCTATTTCTAATCTGGGGATTATTTCAACTCAGGTTCTTTCTCTGCCTTTCTTCTACACCTTCTGGAAAACAAAACAAAAAGGCTGAGGTTGGAAGTCTGAGCTGAGGTGCTCCAGAGTTATATATAGTTGGCAGAAAACGTCCTCAGACAGTTGGGAGACAGTGGAGGCTACTCGGGGCTGGATCTGTCGTCCGTCAGGTTGGAGGGTCAGCTCAGAAGAGCCAAGAGCAGTGAAATCTGCCTCCTGGTAGGTAAAAGGCTGGCTAATCCCAGCCACCCTTCCTCCATGCGCGTTCTACCAGGAAGCAGATAGATGTTGCCCGCCACCAGGGAAAGATTGCATCGTATCCAAGGGCAGGGGCCTGGAGAGAGCTGGGTGTCATGGCCAAGCTTGGCTGCAGCCTCTGGGCTGGAAGGCGTGGACAGGGTGAGGGCACACAGGTCAATAGGGCCAGTCCCACTGCAGACACAGCTCCGGGTCACAGTGCACACAGCAGGTGGCAGAGGACAGTGATGGCCAATGTGCAGGTCACCCCATGAAACCCTGCTTCTTTGCCCTGTGGGAGCATCAGCACTATATAATTTATGTAATATATATATATATAT